CTCTCGTTTTTCTCTCTCTCTCTTCTCTCCTCTCGTGTCTCTCTCTCTTAATTCTTCTCTTCTCTCTCTCCCCTCCCTTCTCTCTCCTCCCCTCCCTCTCCCTCCCTCCCTCCCTCCCTCCTCTCTCCTCTCCCTCTCCCTCCTCTCTGTCTCTCTGGTCTCTCTCTCTTCTCTCTCTCTCTCTGTCTCTCTCTGTCTCTCTCTCTCTCTCTCTCTCTCTCTCTTCTCTCTCTCTCTCTCTCTCTCTCTCTCTCTCTCTCTCTCTCTCTCTCTCTCTCTCTCTCTCTCTCTCTCTCTCTCTCTCTCTTTGTTTATAGCTCTTTCTTTCCTAAAGCTACATCATTTAACTGTTATTTTGATCAATCTAGACTTTATTGAAAGTGCTCTTGTGGTTTCCCTTTCTGCCTTGCATAAATGTTCATTCCGTATTTTGTTTTCAATTTATTATTTGTTGTGCTTGTTTATTCGTTTAGTTAAATTTGTTACGTGGATTACCATTTTTGAATAATCCAGTTAGGTAAAAGGGGCAGCCATTACCCAGAAATGTCATGACCAGTGTGAGTTTTTCACTCTTCTCCCCCTGTTTCCCCACCCGCCCCCGTCCACCCCTCCCGCCCGGGCCATCTGCCGGCCAACCCCCCCCCCCCCCCCGCTCGGCTCCAACACTCACAATCTCCGCGATAGTGGTTGTATTTTTGCTACTTAGGCTCCATTATGCCAGCTGATGCACAGGGGGTTAACGGCGGACCGGCGGCCGTTTCCGATGAATATGTGGTGGACGCCGCCGCTGGTGCTCGCCGGGCCCCATTCGGGAGAGACATAGGGAGGGCAGCGCGGCACTATTGCTGTCTTTTAGGGCTGCACGTGCGGGCAGGGAGGCCATTGGGGCTGGCATTCTTTTCACCGCCACGAGGGGGAAAGTCCGGCCGGGCGAGAACTACGGCCGAAGGGCTCGAGTGGGGGGGGGAAAAGGGGGGGGGGAGGCAAAGCCACGGTAAAGATGGCGGGCTTTATTGCAGGGCCGCTCTGGTTACACCTCGTATTGTGAAAGTGGAAGTAGGGTAGTCTGCGATAATCCTCTCTGACAATGGGGCCATGTTTTGTTTCCGTTTACTCCACGGAAAGAATAGAAGGCACTTAGTTGAGTTTATTTTTTTCTAAGAACATCCTTAAGGGTGTTTTTGAGTGCTCTATAGGGACTGTATGGGTATATTATGTATATATTTAGTTGTCCATTTGTATTTATGCGTTTATATAAATTTAATGTGTACTGCATAGGTGTGTGTGTTTGTGTGTTTGTGTGTGTGTGTGTGTGTGTGTGTGTGTGTGTGTGTGTGTGTGTGTGTGTGTGTGTGTGTGTGTGTGTGTGTGTGTGTGTGTGTGTGCACACACACCACACACACACAACACACACCACACACCACACACATATATATACACACATACATATATATACATATATATATATATATACACATACACATAGATACATATGCACGCACGCACGCACATTTGATTTGTGACAGTACGCATGTTCTTCATTATATTGTTTAAATGAATATGCGTAGGCATTTCCGTGGCATTTGTTCTTTTAACAATTTTGCTTCGTCAGAATTGGCCGACATGGAATTTATGGTCCGGGATGGTAGGGCTTTTTTATGTAATATATAAAACGCTTTGTTTAGCTTTAAAAGGTCACGCTCTTGTTCTTTTTAATGCATTTTTCAGTTACATATGTTCTCTTTTTTTCTTCACATATTTTACTACATTTCCATCTATATTTGATCCATCGTGCATTTCGTTTCCGCATAAACGGATTCGGCTGATATCCTGGAGAATATTTAATTGCTTGTTTATTTCATTTTTGGAATGTAAATGAAGTACACTAACATGTATTCTGTGTAAGTTATTTACTGAGTGTTATTAATGAGCACCAGCTGTTGGGTCTAGCGTGGCGCCCCTTGGCAGAAGCTGTTCATTCACACCCGTATTTTTTGCTGCCCATGCTTGGTCATGCAGGGGAAAGTTAGAAAGGGAACAGGGAAGAACCTGAAAGAAAGGAGGTAGGAGGTGGAGGCGGTGGCCGGGAGGTGTAGGAAGAGGTAAAGGTAGAAGTAGAGACGGAGGAAGAAGGATGAATAAAAAGTAGGAGTGGAGAAAGAGTAGGAAGTGAATGAGGAGAGAAAGTGATTTTAAAAAATCAAGAGGAGGACTAGGATGAAGAAAGGAGGGAGTGGAGGAGGAAATGGGTGACGATGACGTCCACGACCAAGATGACGAAGAGGAGGATTATAATGATAATATTGATGACGATGACGATAAAAAGATTAAAAGTTGAAAGACACATTTACATGAAGCTTCCCAGCCAGTTTTTGCCTCTTACGTCTTTTTATTTGATAATTATATGTTATTAAGATCTGAGTATTGAAGACAGAGTGCAGTAGGAAGTTAGACACCAAAATGTTGGGTTTACTTTCATTGGATTGTATTTTAATTGCCATAATTTTATAATTGTAGCTGTCATAATTGTCCAATTTAAGCATCTTTTTCTACATTTGATAATTGCTGGTCATCGGTCTCTCTTGGACGACATCCACATTTTTTTACGCATCATAACTTTTACCAAGAATAAGTTTTAGATATTAAGTTTCAGAAGCATTAAGTTTTATGAAGTATTAAGTATTTATTTTTAGGTTTTAAGCTCTTGAAATCACAAGCTGTAATGGAAAGAATGTCGCTAAGATCGACATTCTAATTCCATATATGTTTTACCAGAATCGAGACTGCATGCTGTGACTATTAGCTGTCATTAGTTTTACTGTAAGCTACTCGACAAGATTTTTCGATGACTTGCATTTTCAGAGGCAGGGTAGTTGAGCATGTTTTATCAGGGTTTTTATCCCCCCTCGGGTCTCGAACTGTATTTTATCAATTTTTTTGTCATTAAGATAAGCCATATGCTGAGATTATCTCTGTCCACTAATCCACATCCTTTTTCCTCCCACAGGTAAGTCGAGACAGCGGTGAGTGCCGCACGACTGTACTTTCACCGCAGCGACGGTCAATAACAGGAGCAGCGGTGGTGAGTCGTGCCGCAGACATCTTGACCGTGCAGACGGTTCTATGTCAGGCGCATCTTGCTCGTCTGCTTTGTTCTCAAGACCGGAATTGTAGGTCTATTTCTGCAGAATTTGATGCACCTTTCCCCAGCCCTCTCTCTGCTGAACTGTACGCAGCACATGTCTCCCCAAGCTCAATTTCTGTTAGACTGAGTGTGATACATATTGCCCTGATCCTTTTTCTGTTGAACGGAGTGCGGTATGTCTCTCCCCAACCCCGTGTCTGTTGAGCAGACTTTGGTACATCTCCCATAATTATTTTTTCTGTTAGACTGAGTGTAATACACCTTCCCCCAACCGGGTTTCTGTTGAGCTTAATTCTAAACACGTTCCCCCAACGCTTTTTGCGTTCTGTATGTGGTCGAGTGTTTGTTCTGTTTTCAACGTTTGTTTAAGCTCTCCTTTGCATGCAGTTCCTGGCTAATTACATCAATAATCTGGATGATAACTGACCCTCATCTCTCATTGGATTGTATTTAGAAAAGAAGAGAACAAAGAGGGCAATGAAAAGGCAGGGAGAGATGGAGAAATATGTTGAGAATATGAGTTAACAGATAGATGGAGAAAATGAAATGGGTAAATTGAGAGAGAGAGAGGAAGAAGTAGATTCAGAAAGAGAGAGAAATAGATAAAGAGAAGTAAAAGATAAAGTGAGAGATATTATTCGGTGTCCGACTCTAAGGGAGATGTACGCCAGTTTTACACCCTTGCCAACACCGCCGCCCAGAGAGGGAAATGCGTCGGACGAAGGAGAAAGTTGATATTACGGTAAAGCCACAGATTTTCCTGACCCACGCAGTCTCGGCCGTGACGCAGGAGGTGGCGGCGATGTCCTGGGGGCGCTCCTCACACTCTCGAGGGCCCCTGAGAAGGCGGCACGAGTGGCGATGGCTTTGACACCTTGCTACCGGTCGGGGATAGAGTTTCCCGAAGCTAAAGGCCGGTTGGAGGCGCGGAAAGTGGAGGTGATGGTAGGGGAACGGGGACGGAGGGCGGATTAAAGGGGGAGGGAAAGGAGGGGAGAAGGAAGTGGCTTGGGGAAACGAAGAAGAAGAAAGGAAGGGAGGGTATATAGGGGTTCGTAGAGTAAAGAGGGGAAAAATATTATTTTTTTTTAGGAAAGAAAAGATAAAAAGGTATGAGTGAGGGATACATAAGAAAAGTGCAAGTAGACTTTCAATGAGTTCATTAAAAAAAAAAAAAAAAAAAAAAAAAAAAATGCCCATTGAAAACAAGAAAAAATGCATTGGCCTGAAATCGATTTGTCGATTTCAGGCCAATTTGTTATATTTCGGTTCAAATACGCAAAGACGATGTAAACATTTTCATCTCAATTTTACAGTGGCGTCAAAATGCAAATTGAAGCTTGCTGATGTCATAATCTAAACAAATACTTGGGGAAGCCAGAAGGGTGTTTGTTATTCATTTGCTATTATTACCCTGGAGTGCCATTGCTGGTCTTGTATTTTATTTGTCTAATATGTTGCTTTATTCATTATCATATTTTTGGCATCAAATGCATTATTCTATTCACTGTTATATTTTATTTACCTTTTGTCTTATTTATACATTTATTTATTTAGATTAGTCATTTATTCATTATCTGTATTGTGGACGGTTGAGGGAAGGGTACGTTTTCATTTGGAAATAGGATGGAGGTAAGGCACTGGCGCGCAAACTTCATGGCGCACACACACACACACACACACACACACACACCACACACGACTCTCTCTCTCTCTCTCTCTCTCTCTCTCTCTCTCTCTCTCTCTCTCTCTCTCTCTCTCATTCATTCTTTCTTTCATTCTCTCATTCACACACACATATATGTATATTTATATATAATCTTCCTTTCTTCCTTTTCGTGTGGGTATGCATCGAAAGGAAATCATGATATGGTTAATATATTTTATTCACAAAAAAACAAAACATTTGTGAGTTTTGATTATTCTTTTTTTCAAAGAATTAAACAGACGTGTAATGAGAAGAAGAATGTTTCGCCATAAAAGGAGCTAGCAGACCGGACAGTTTCATGTTTCTTGTTATTTTGCCGATATTTAGCGTTATGTCTGACGGACTTGTAGGCAAACGAAACATCTCCTTTAAAAGTAATCAACTAATTTATCATAGGCATGTCGATCGAGACGACGATTTTGACATGAGGCTTTGATGGTGATTGAAAGTGAGAGATCAGTGCCGTGGCAGATGGATTGGATGCTTTATGCAGAGAGGGGAGAGAGCGTGAAGTGTCTATTGGTGATTATATAATACATAATATTATGCAGACGTGACACACGCGATTGAGATGATGCTGGTGATGAAGTGATGAGGACAGGTGGCGCGCACAGGATAATGACTAGAGGAAACGTTGTGTGATGATAAAAGTAACTTGTTGGCCGTAAAGACCGATCCGGAACTGAGGTTAGGTGCCTCCAGATCAGCCAGCGACGTAGGTGAAGTCGTGGTGGTGGTTGTTGGGGAGGCGCAGCCGGAAGAAGCCGCTGACAGAATTGCCGTCAGAGGCCTCCGAGTGGGTGTACTGAGCGCCTTCCTCCTCCACGTCGTACTTGAAGGTGTAGCGCTTGGGCTCCTGCAGGAGGGAGATACCTGTAGCAAGAACAGCGAGGGCCCTTTGACCCTTGTCCATGTGTTTGGGGCTTGGTAGTGTTGTGGGTCTTGGCGTTGGGTGTCGTGAGGTGCTGGGGAGGGTCTCTATTGGGTGTGGTGAGAGTTGTTGCTGTAGATGTGGTTGCGGTTGTCGCTGGAGTGTTTTGGTTTGTATTATCGAATAATGGAGGACTGTTTATTCACATCACATATGCAAGTACTCATATAGGTGTACACACCCGGGAATTAATTAGACTTACACACCCACACTCATGCGCTCAAACAGACATGCATGCTTACGAATGTTACTTGTGCATACGGTTTATCTGTGGCCGTCAAGATGTATACAGAATATACGAACATTGCATTGCAGCAGAATGCATAATCCTAACAACAGTCTTCGGGAGACAGGAATAACCAAACAAAAGAAGTATTACTTATCGTCGGTTTTGTTGTTGGTCGGACTGTCATGGTCGCAAAGTACTGTATGTCCGTCGTTATACTTTCTTGGACCAGTCTAACCATACCTCATTATTCACTGGCTTGTAGACCACCGACTTTCTCGTTGGTTTGTGCTTGCGGGCGGGGACGCGGGTGGGGTGTTGAGGCTTGGGCGGCGCTGGGGGGAGGGTGGGTAGGGGTGTAGTGTGAGGCTTACGGCGGCGAGGCTTAGGTGGGTGTGGGGCGGCTGTGGGGCTTGGTTGGGGGTAGTGTGGGTTTAGGTGTGGGGGAGGCTTTGAGTGTCGGCAGTGTGGGCTTTGGTGTGGGGGAGGGTTGTGGGGTGGGGGAAGGCTGTGGTGTGGGCTGGGCAGGTTTTGGAGAAGGGGAGGGGCTAAGGGGTGCAGAGGGTGGGTAGAAGACAGGGGTGGCGGGGGGTTCGCCTATGTTGTACACAGGGGGCAGAACTTTGTACTCAAATTCATCTTCAGTGTAGACGGCGGGGACGAACTGCAGGACAGTCAGCACAACAACTATCTGTGGAGCAAAAATGCTGTATTCTTCATAGAAATTTAACTTACGTACATGTGTATAAGATATATTCGCGCGCGCACGCACACACACACAACACACACACACACACACACACACACACACACACACACACACACACACACACACACACACACACACACACACACACACACACACACACACACACACATTACACACATATACACACATATACATACACACACACATATTATATAATACAATATATATACATTCTGTATTTACATTACATTTCTTTAGTTGAAAATAACTGGAGTATCCGAGTGGGAGGGGAAGCAGGAAGACAACCGAGAATCCCCCGCAGCAGAAATACTGACTTTATCCTGATTTTCATTAAAGATAAGTGAATAAGCCGTCGTAAAGCAGGAAAAATAAATAAATGTAGAAACACACTTAGGGAGGATTGCCGCGTGTATCGTGTACCTAGCAGTGTCATTAAATAAAAATAAATGACATCTGGAACGGTTCTTCATGGGCGATCGGTAATTCCTTGTAAGTGTCGCAACCCCGGTCTCCCTCTCGCGCTGGTTGTAGGGAAATTGTAGGCCTGGGGCTGTGTGTTGTAGACTTTTACAACGGGGTCTTTCTGTCTCAGTCTGTTTGTATTTGTCTTTCTCTCCGTGTTTGTCTCTCTGTCTCTGTTTGTGTGTCTGTGCCACTCTGTATCAAATTCATCTTCTCTTGTCTCTCTCTCCGTCTCTGTCTATCTGTCTTCGCCTCTGTCTCTTTGTCTTTCTTTGTCTCTTTTTCCGTTTTTGTCTGTGTTCGTTATGTCTTGCTTCTCTCTCTCTCTCTCTCTCTCTAGTCTCTCTCTCTCTCTCTCTCTCTCTCTCTCTCTCTCTCTCTCTCTCTCTGTCTCTCTCTCTCTCTCTCTCTCTCTCTCTCTCTCTCTCTCTCTCTCTCTCTCTCTCTCTCTCTCTCTCTATCTCTCTCTCTCTCTCTCTCTCTCTCTCTCTCTCTCTCTCTCTCTCTCTCTCTCTCTCTCTCTCTCTCTCTCTGTATGTATGTATGTATGTATGTATGTCCCGCACTTTTTAGCGATATGATACAGGTTGGAACTATTTATTTTTCGCGATATGATACATGTTGGGACATTTTTTTGAGTGATATGATACATGTTGGGGCTATTTTTTCAAGCGGTATCATACATTTTGGTCTCTTTTGTAGCGTTATTATACTAGCTGGACGACTGAAAAGCCATTTGTACTAAATATTTTCTCTGCAAATAGCCGTTTTCATTTTATTTAATTTCGTTGTATTTGTCTGCCGTGACAAGAAGAGTAGGATTTTTTTTTTTCAGAATTCATCTTTTATAACAAAATTTAAAAATAATTCGTTAGGAAACGTAGTCCGGAGAATTTCTGTTTTACAGGACTTTTCTTTATATTAAAAAAGGGGTGAAAAAAGTTGGCCTAAATTCATCCAGACATTTATAGCGAAAGTTTTATACTGTAGCACTTTTTGAATAGCCTATGTTGGCTCGGAACCATTCAGACTTTTTTAAGCGTTATGACAAGCCGGATGACTGAGCTTGTAACCAAAGGGAATATCTTGTTTCTGATAATTTGTTCGGTTGACCTCTCCAGAAACCTCGCAGACAGTTAGTTCTATATACATCTTCATCAGCATCAGATCAGCATTAGATTATTGAAAGAGATGAATGGATGTATACTAATCGTAAAGCAGAACTATATGAATGAATTGGGTTGAATTCCACTTTAGGTTCAATGTGAATTTCTTTTACGTCCATGTGGGAATAATTATTAGCATTTGTCTTCGTTCACATGAGTATTTAGCATTGCATTTATTAGGTTTATTACACTGATACACATATATGTATTCGCTTTCTGTGTATTTGATCCATTCATTAATTTTATGCATGTCCTTAACTACACGCTTGAATTCTATGTTATAAACACGTCATTGGTCCCCGACGGTATCCGAAAAAACACAACACATGGACAGAATGGGAATAATGAAACCATGTTAGAAAGTCATGCATTAGGACTGAAAGGCCTTTTGATTGATCAAGAAAGTAGTAATGACGATGCTAATGATGATGATAATGATTATGACTATAATCATAAGGATAATGATAACGATAATAATAATAATAATGATAATAATAATAATAATAATAATAATAATGCTGATGATGATTAGAATTAAAATTCGACTAAAATAAGAATAAGAATAAACTGCGAAGGAACGAAAAAAGCTGCACAACAAAACTGGCTCACCATGAACGGCACGCGGTCCATGACGAATCAGTGTCCGGGAAGGGAATGAGGCTTCGACGCTCCTGCACTTCTTTTATAGACCCCCTCTCTACACGCGTCTTCGCCCATCTCCTGTTGCCGCCGCAGACGCCCCACGAGGCATCTTCCCCGCTTCCCCACTTTTTGTTTGGTGTCTCTCGTGTCCTCTTCATATCTTGATTAGTTACTTCCCCTACTTTCTTACTTACCTGGGTTTTTTGTTTGGCGTTTGTTTTCCTCTCTTTATCGGTTATACGTTTCCCCCCATTTCTTTTTTTCATTCCCAATCTGCGAATCCTTGTGTAATGACCTCCGATCACTCCCCCCCCTCCTTTCTAGAGCATCCCAACCTCCATCCCGCCCCTACGCACACGCCCCCCCCCCCCACACACACACATACATTCTCTCTTTCAGACAACTGCTAGCATCCCGAACACGCATTCGAACGACCAGCAAAGGATCGGAATAGGATAGGATAGGATAGGATTAAGCCCATACTTCATTTCGTTTCCGTCTCTTAATAAGGATGATTATGGTTATTTCGGCACGACGGACTAACGAGAAGGGAGGTTGGCTCATCCTTCAGCGTTCAGGAGGATGGTTAGGATTGATGGTCCGGTTCCGGTGCGCTCGAAGGATCCCTCGCTTGATGACGATGAGGCGAGAGTGAAATCCTCCTTGTCTCGCAGCTCACTGTAATTGGTTTGGAATTATGTGTCCCTCAACGGTCGCTCTGCATAAGTGAATTTGTGCAGGTGTACAGTTGCCTGATTTGCATGATTGGTTTCCTTTATCTTTGGCGATTGGGAGTGATTTGGTCTTCAGGCTCGTCGGTTTTATTCGCGAGGTTTTGTTCTACTTTCCTCTGTTTAGCTTATTGAGAACCCCCTGTTATCTCCTTGCGCTGTTCGTCTTCACAAGGCAACATGTGTGTGAAGCAGACTGACGTTAAATGTAGACGATATTGCATCTAAGTGCTTGTTATTACTTCGCATTTATATATAT